CCGAGGGCCTTCATCGCGGGGATGGCCCTCAGCCCCCCGCGAGGACTGCCCGCGCGCTCGCAAGAGCGCGTTTTGAATCACTTCACGACGATCGCCTCGGAGTTGCACCCCCGCTGGCTTGTCAAAGGCATCGTGGCGGCGGGGGTGGGCTTTGCCCCCGCCCTCGACGCCGTCTCCGTGCATCGCTGGTTTTCCCTTTTCACCACGCGGGAGCGAATCCGCCGCGTCGGGCTGGCGGATTGCGCCGCTCTACTGCATTTTCTCGCCCAACCCAGCGCCGACGGGTGGGAGGTGGTTTTGGCGAAACGCGGCGTCGCCCATCGCGTGGGGGTTTTACTCCGCGCGGGCGATTCCGCCGCGGGGCTGGCGGGGCTCCCGCGGGTCATCGCCGCCCTGCAAAAGGGGGATCTTTTCTTTTCCCATTTATTCTCGCGGGCCTGTCGGGTGCTGCTGGATCAGGTGGAAAAGGCGCCCTGGGATCCCCTTCTGCCCGCCTTCGCCGCCGCCGCGGATGAGTTCACGCGGCGTCCACACGCGGAGGCCTACGCCTCGGTCTTCCCCGACGTCTGGGAGCTCCTCCGCGCGCGGGTTTTGAACGACGCCGGGGAATCACTTCGTCTGGAAGACGTCCTCACGGCGTTGAATGGGTTTGCGGGGTTGGACGTGGAGGACCGGCCGCTCTTTCGCAGTCTCGTCCATCGCCTCTGGGCGGCCTACACGGAAAGGGCCGAGACGCCAACCCGCGAGCCTGAAAACGAGAACGCGACGAAGAGTGTAAGTGAAAGCAGGAGTGTGAACGAGAACAGGGACAACAGTGCGAACAGGAACGAGTATGACACGGAGAACAGGAACGAGTATGACACGGAGAACAGGAACGAGTGTGACACGGAGAACAGGAACGAGTGTGACACGGAGAACAGAAATGGGAACGAGGTAGTGGTGCAGCCTACGGCGGCGAACCTTCCGGCACACCTTGGGGATTGGATGCTGCGGGGGCTCAGCCCAAGCGCGCTGGCCGTTCTCGCGGCCACGCTTCTCGGCAAAGGGGCCGGTGACGACGTGGACGGGCTCCTTCCCTGGACCCTTCTTTACCTCCGCCGAGCCGCCGACGGGCTCTACCCCGTCGATCTCCTTCTCGTCCTGCCGGCGCTTCTGCGGGGGGGAACGGCCACCCCCGGCCGACTTCTCCACGCTGCCTACGACGCCTGCCGATCGCACTTTTTTCTCATCTTTCACGACGCGGACGGGGGAGTCGAAAAGGTGGACTCGGATGAAACCCCAAACCCGGAAGAACTCGCGCGCTGGGAGGCGCTTCGTAACGACATGGCGCCGAGGGCCAAGGCCTCGATCCGGATGCTCCCAAGCCGTCGATTTGCGCCGATTTTGACGGAACTGACCAACAGTGGGATCCGTGATCCCGTCGTTGCTGCGATCTGCGCAAAGAGGATCTGTACCCTTCGTGTATGCCGGGAAATTTTGCCCATCCACGAGCTCGTGCAGGTGTGCATGGCATTGTGTTTTCAATTCCCACCACCGACCCCCACCGCTGACAGCCTCAGTCCGGGTGAATTTAAGCAAGCGGTGGTCCCTGAATCGGATCACAAGTCCGACGCCCCGCCTGCTCATAATGCTGCGAATACCGAGAATTCATCTTCGCCGACGGTGCGCTTTATGACGGTCGTTCTCAATGCACTGTGGAACCGCACCGACGAGTTGGAGGCCCGGGATATACACGCCTTGATTGGTTGTCTACAGCATTACTACGGCGAAAAGGTCGATGAGGACTTTTTGAAGAGATTAAAAGAACAACAAAACTTATTACGGAGTCGCCAAAGTAAAAAAAAAGAGGTGCATAATGGGTGATGCTGTATCACTCAAACGCCTCCAGAGGATCACGGGAAATCTTCTACGTTGACAAACGCTCCTCCACTTCACCATCCATCCATATCTTTTTCCAATCACAATATTACAGCAGATCGAAGCGAAAGGAAGATCTTATGGGAATGTCAGCGCTGATATTTTTATTATTTTACGTATTATTCGCGAAAAGTAAAATCCGGAATGCGGCTTGAGAATCATAGGAAGTTCATACTTTGTGAAGTGGGGAGGATAAAACACAGTGTCTATCAGAAACACTCTATAGGAACTGCGTGGTGCTAGACATGTCAGTTAATGTCTTTTGTTGAATCGTCTATACTGAGGACAAACGCGTTCCTGATAGTTGAAACCTCCGGAGCCTGAAGTAGCACCTAGCAGGTGTACAAAAAATATACTATAATTATATTTTATAAAAAATTCCATGTAGCCCAATGAAATGTTAAAAAGTCAAAATAAAATCTCTCATTATTTCAACATTATGGCTTTCATTTCTGGATTCCTAAAAGAAAAAAAGAACTTTAACAAGATATGGGTAGTGACGACGATTTGTTTGTATCCCGGTCGAGGTCCTGTTTATTTTTATTTCGCCTTTTCAATCGCCAATGACATTCGCGTTGGGGAAACACTTTATTGAGCGCACTGAAAAAGTAGAAGGAAGGGAAGATGTTTTCATCTACTCGACAACGTGGTGGAATGCTAAGGGGATTTTGATTTCAAAGATCAAGGCGCTTTTTCTCGATGGTACCTCAGATCCTACGAACCCGAAGCGCGATACAGCGTATGTCGTAAAAAACAGTGTTTAAACAATCCCATTGTATACTGCCCAACATGGAATTGAGCGAATACCCCTCCTGCAATGGCGCTGGCAAATTTACATCAGAAAATTGGAGATATGAACTCGTTTAGCGGTTAGAGCTCTTACCCACCCCATCGCCCTTAGCATGCGAGTGCAGCGGGAGGTTGCTCGGCGCGAGCTTTCGGAAAACAGAGTGAAATCCCGTGCGGGTTGAATCGCCACACATTTCATTCCACCGTGGTGGGGTTTCAACAATGCGGACGGGGGGGATACTGCACAACCCAACGGTTCGGTCTCTGCTAAGAAAAAAGGTTGAAAAATAATCACACCAAACTCTTGGGAGGCGCAGAGTCTGACCACGTGTACAATTAGTTGAATCACCCGTATTCTCACACGAATCTTCGATAGGGTTGCACATGAAGTGCACACCGACAACGTCCGCTTTGTCATAGGGCTTTATGTAAAGAGCCATACCGAGGAGGTGTCTAGTATGTAGATTTTTATCGTGGCCATTTGCCGCGAGGTTCAATCTAGGAAATGAACTCCAGGAAAGCGTTTACTTTAAAGACACTAAAAAATAACGGCAACAAAATGGGAACAAAATCACACGAATAAATTCTAACTTAGCATCGTCACTCATTTTATTCTTTCCACCGAAAAAATAAAATGATCGATTATATTTAAAAATATATACTAAGCTCCACCACCTGTTACGCTGTTCTGTATTGACGTCGTTGTGGGTACCCCATCTATCCCCATATTCTCCCCTTGTGGTGCTCTTCTTCACAGTTGTAGGGAACGAAACCGAACCCCCCGACCATCCCGTCGCCGCGATGATGTCCAAGGCGGCCTACGTCATGCACGACCACATCCGCCGCAGCTACTCCTACATCACGGACCTCCACGCCCCCAACACCTTCCTCTGCCGTGGCCGCCTTTCCTTCCCGCAGGGCCTGACCGCCATCGCGCTGTGGTTCTACCAGAAGACCCCGGCCGACCTCTACGCCCACGCCTACTTCGTCGAGCGCCAGGCCAACCCCGGCCAGCCCTCCCCGCAGATGCACACCACCGAGGAGGTCCAGGGCGTCCTGAAGGTCATGCAGGGCCTCCGCCATATGCGCGACGACCTCACCAAGCTCGACAACACCATGGCCGTCGTGACCGATTTCCTCGTCCCGGCGAAGGCGACCATGCTCGTCTTCGACCCGCGCGAGGCGAACGCGGGCCCGCCGCCGCCCAGCCCCGATCTCGCCCCGCCCCCGGAGGACGACGCGCGCGAGGGCCCTAATCCTTTCGCCGACGGCTCCAGCCTCTACTCCTCCCACTTCTCCTCCACTCGGACGATGGAGAAGATCCACGAGGCCCCGGCGAAGCCCTCGCGGGTGCACTTCCCGGGCGCGACCGAGGCCGTCGCCAACGCCGCGGCGACCCAGGCCTACTTCCGCGACGTCCTCCAGGCCTACAAAAAGGAGCGCATCGACGCCATGCCGGACGGGAATTTGATGATGAAGGAAAACAACGCGGAGGCGGAGGAGGGCCCGCGACGGTTGCGAAACGCCGTCGTGGGCTACCGCGAGCGGGAAGGGGGCCACACCATTTTGTACAACCCCTGCGAGCTGAACGAGCGCACCTTCGCCGAGCTCATCCTCCGACTCGAACGCGAGAAGCGTGTGGTGAAGACGATCGTGGTGCCCACGCGGCAGACCTGGCGGGATCTGCAGGTCTGGGCGGATGCCTTTCCCGACGCCGCGATTCTCGCCAGCGGGGGGATCCCCATCGCCCCCGCGGCGGAGGGCGAGGAGGGGAGGCCGCGGTCGGGGAATATTCCCCCCTCCCCCCGCTATCGGGACGTCGGGAACGGCGTGATGGGGATCATCTTTCCCGAGGTCGATCTGGAGGCCGAGGAGCGCGAACGCGAGGCAGACGAAAGGACAAAGGGCCCCGGCGCCGCCTTCCCTGCGGATCAACCTGGGTTTCCCGGCTTCCTCCACGGTGAGGACCCGGCGGATGTCTTGTGGGATCCCGACGCCTCCCATCTCTTTTCAACGGTGGGGGGGAGTCCAGTCCCTCGCTACGGCCTTCGCGCGGAGGACGCGAAGAGGGTGCGGGATCTGTCGAAGGAGGGGATGCCGCCCTCCCTGAGCCTGACGCCGCGGATTGAGCTCCTCCACGTCCCCGGGGATGCCTACACGGGGGAGTACGTCCTCTACGACCACCACAGCCGCCACCTCGCCTGCGTGGAGCTCTTCCACGGCGGGTATAGCGACTTCGACGCGCTGAACACGTGGCTGGTGCGGGTGTGGTTTAAGTTCATGCGGCGTGGGAGCCATAAGCGGATCGACCTCGTCCCGCGGTTTAAATGGCGCCAGGTGGGGCTGCAGGGGACGCTCGGGGTGCTGCAAGGGTGGCTGGACGAGCTCACCCGGCGGCGGGGGATTCACGGCATCGCCTACGCGCACGGGACGCCGCCGCTCGTAGACGAGGCGGCGAATCGTCTGCGGGAGCAATGGAACCTCCCCCCGCTGACAACGGAGGAGCTGCGCCGGGCGGAGGAGGCCGGGGCACCTCATAGCAATCCCGATGCCAACACACAGCAATAATACCCTGATGGGGTGTTTGGACTCGGCGAGCTCTCGCGGATAGGCCGAACAAAAACATCTCTTGAAGTGAATAAGGAAGTCATCCGTGGCTGTTGATTTGGCATGACCCAGTTGCACGAGAATGGCGCGTGGGACATAGGATTCTAGGTGCTCGCTAAAGTGAAAAAATAGGGTGTGTATGTGTTTTTTTGAAGGGGTGGAAGAGTGAATTTGCTTGTTCATTTTTATTTTCCTATCGTACTGCAATCAGTTGCAGAATCTCATCGTGTGTGCTCGAGTTCCATCCCTATTTTTTCACTCGCACATCGATCAGATGTACCTGAAGAATATGAACAGTGATTATTTCTACATATCGAAGATATAACCCTTTTTCTTACCTTTATTGCGCTACAACTAGCCCCTATCTCTTCTGATCAATCTCAAATGTGAAGATGGATCGATAGGTTCCGATATAGTTTGCTCATCTCCCCCTACCTTATTTTGGTCATAAACCCCACCCAAATGAATTCAAGGTCCATAGGTTATACCGGGAAGGAACCCCACCACCACACACATATTCGATGGCCAATGACGATCCTGGGAAGGGCATGGACTTCTGGGAGAACCGGTACTACGTCAGCCCGCATGCCGTCATTCTGGGGGATGTCAGCTTCGGCGGTGGTTGTGTAGTTTTGGCGGGCGCGCGGATCATCGCCCGTTCGGGCCGTATCCAATTCGGTGCGTTCTGCCTCGTAGAAGAATACGCCGAGGTCGTCTTCGATCGCGAGGCGGCCGCCCTCAAGGGGCAAAGTCGCCATGAAGCGAAAGGAGGAGTCGACGCCCCAGATCCGGCCTCCCGCGGCGTGGGACCGCCCCAACACAAATCCACCGCGGAAATGGTGATTGGGGATTACAACCACCTGAAGGCCTACGCGGTGCTGCGGAATGTGGCCCACGTCGGCTCCACGAACTGCCTTGAGAGCTTCTCCAGTGTGGGATGGGCCGATCGGGCGCCCTGCCCGCACCAAACCCAAGCGGTGGCGTGGGGATTGGGCGATCTTTGTGTGGTGGCCCCATATGTAGTGGTTGATGTCGGTGAATTTTCGAAACTAAGTGGGAAAGCGGTGGTGGAATCATCCACACCGGCAGGCGACTCCGCTCAGTGCGATGCGCGATTCGCCGAAGGAAGGATCGCGCCCTCACGGGTGACCTTTCTACCGCGCACCGCGTTGATGGATGAAATCCGGCAAAACGCATCCCGCGCGGCGGGGATGCAATGCCGCACGAAGGGGTTTAGCGTCGTCCCGCGCTACGGAACGCGAAGCGTCGCGGAGTTGGGGTTTATCTCGCAGACAATGATGAGGTCGCCGCCGCGCGTGGGGGATGCGAATGAGGGGGAATCGCACGATACGGCCGTGGCGTGTCCACCACATCCCCAGCTCGCCGCGGAGGCCCAGGCGCGAAGTGATGGCCCCGATTCGCAGGGGGAAGGACGCCTCATCAAAGACGTCCTCGACGGCTACACCGCGGTGTGGGAGCAAGACGAGATTGAATCGCTGCGGAAGCTGTGCAAGTATTACCTCATTACGTACGGTTGGACGGCGTCCAGCAAACAACGGTGAGGGACCTTCAGAATCCAACTGAAGTGAGTGAGAAATGAAACGTAATTCAAAAAGAAAAGCAAAAACACATTACTCTATCGTTTTTTTCCTTACAAATCTGACGTGGATGCGTAGTTATTCCGTTTACTTTTTTACCATATTATTCTTTTTACCTTTTTCTTATCATTGTAGTTGCAAGCTATTCTCAAAGACTTTCTTTTTTTTTTATTATTATTATTTTTATTTTTGAGTGAAACCGATGTCTCAGCAAGAGAAGACAGCTCCCCAGGATCAGGATTCCTTCGTGGATGATCAACCTGGCGTACGGCCGATCCCTTCCTTCGATGACATGCCCCTTCACCAGAATCTCCTCCGCGGTATTTACTCGTATGGGTTTGAGAAGCCCTCCAGTATTCAACAGCGCGCGATCGCGCCCTTCACGCGCTGTGGGGACATCATCGCCCAAGCCCAGTCCGGGACGGGCAAAACCGGCGCCTTCTCCATCGGCCTCCTCCAGCGCCTCGACTTCCGCCATAAGATCGTCCAGGCCCTTGTTCTCTCTCCGACGCGGGAGCTCGCCCTTCAGACCGCCGACGTGATCTCCCGCATTGGGGAGTTCCTGTCGGACACCAAAGGCTTCTGCGAGACTTTTGTGGGGGGAACCCGTGTCCAGGACGATATCCGCAAACTCCAATCCGGCGTCCTTGTCGCCGTGGGCACTCCGGGGCGGGTGTTGGATATGATGAAGCGGGGCTCCCTGCGCGCGGACACGCTGCGGGTGTTGGTCCTGGACGAGGCCGA